CTCGACTTAACAACAATTCGTTTAGTGACCGAAGTTACAACGGCACCGAAAAAAGTGACTCATGACCGTTTTTCACACTTAACGACCGTTGCAGCCTCCCCACGGTCATGTGATCAAAATTCAGGCGCTTGGCAACTGACCCCGTATTTATGACGGTTGCAGCGTCCTGGGGTCCCGCAATCCCTTTGTTGCGCCCTTCTGACAAGCAGAGTCGGAGAAAGACGCGCCCTCTACACGTGCTTGAAAGCACTCTGTCCGAAGCCTTCAAAGTGGCCGAAACTTACAGCCTGGGGTCACCCCAAGGGTTGATGCCAGCCCGCAGCTCCCCGTTTCTGCCGTTTCCAATCTTGCAAACATCTTTTGTCGTTGTGGGCAACTTGTTACTCACACCACTTCCTGGCCAGCTGAGAGTAAAGCCTGTGCAAGCTAGGAAGAAGTCGTGTCATTTCCTCTCCCCGTGATCAACGACTTCTCCGTCTTTAAAAGCTTCTTTCCGGAAGTCTAGATTTACCTGCCGTCCACCCCCCTGTTGCAACAGGCCAGATGTTTTTTTCCCGTCAGGGAAAAACTTGACCCAAAACTTCCTTCTCTCTCTTTCTTAAAATGAAAAGAAAAAGCCGAAGGGGTTGGAATAGAATCACAAGAGTTGAAAGGGACCTTGAAGGTCATCTAGTCCAACCTCTTGCTCAGGCAGGAAACACTATATACCCTTTCGGACAAACGGTGGTCCAGTCTCTTTTTAAAGACTTCAAGTTGTTGACGGAGGTTGCCGGATCTGAGGAGGTCAGATGTTGGGGTACGCCTTTCGTCACAAAACGAGCGTTGATGTCGGCACATGGCACCGATCGATCGATTTTTATTGATTAATTTATTATGCCGTCCATCTCTCCTACAAGGTCAGGGGTACGCAACCTTGGCTCTTTTAGGACTCGCGGACTTCAACTCCCAGAATTCCTGAGCCAGCATGAGGGAACTATGGCCCCCTCATGACTTGTGGACTTCAATTCCCAGAATTCCTGAGCCAGCATGGCTCAGCATGGCAACCTCTCCTTTTCCCCTCAGCATGGCTGGCTCAGGAATTCTGGGAGTTGAAGTCCACGAGTCATAAAAGAGCCAAGGTTGCCTACCCTGGCCTAGGCTTGTATTTCTCAACCTTGGCCACTCGGAGATGGGTGGACTTCAACTCCCAGAATTCCTGAGCCAGCAGGGCTCAGCTTGGAAACCTCTCCTTTTTCCCTCAGCATGGCTGGCTCAGGAATTCTGGGTATTGAAGTCCACAAGTCACAAAAGAGCCAAGGTTGCCTACCCCTGATCTAAATGATGGTTCTTCTCTCCCTCCCAACTCTTTAAAATTGTCTTGTTCAGGGATTCAACCGTGCCAAAGTTGTGCAGGCCACTTGAAAGCCCCTGAAAGTGCTTTTTTTTACACACACACACAAAGAGAGAGAGAGAGAGAGAGAGAGAGAGAGAGAGAGAGAGAGAGAGAGAGAAACACACATCTCTGCCATCTGTCCGTCAGAATAAAAATTGGAATTATCTTTTCGTTTTTCTCTCTCTTCTCCCCTGCAGCCTGCAGAGGAAGAAAGCCGGGCTATTTTGGGGTTCCAACATAATTGTGGAGGCTGTTTGTTTTGGTTGGGATGCAGTGCTGTGTTATTCTTTCGCATGCTGAGCGCCTCTTCCACAATAGAGGCGCTCCTGGTCGGCTGCTGTTTTCGTCGGAGGAGCCAGATGTGCCTGGGAATTTGTTCCGCCTCTCGGAGCGTTGCTTACGAGTCTCACAATCTGATCAGGAAATGCATTTATAGGGAGCGGAAAAACCGCTCTCGGCTGTTAGGATGATTGTTATTAATCTCCCCGGGGCTGTTTGAAAAGGCTGTTATCTCAAGCCCTCATCCAGCAGCGCAAAGCCGAACCAAATAATGCAAAAACTATATTTTTTTTGGAGTGGATGCATTTTGTGATTGGTTAAATTTGGATCCTGTCTCGACTCAAGGCATTGAACTCAACACTTCTTTCCCTCCTGACAATAACAACAAGCCCTCTCTGAGGCAGGCATGGGTCCATTCACACAAGGCCAGTGGTGGGATTCAGATGGTTCGCACTACTTCAGCAGAACCGGTAACTAATTTTTGGTTGCCCAGGCCCAGAATAGACTTCCAGAAGCGGCATCCATTGCAGAGAACCGGTTGTTCACCTATTTGAATCCCACCACTGATCATATCTATCTATCTATCTATCTATCTCTATCTATCTATCTATCTATCATCTATCTATCTATCTATCTATCTATCTATCTATCTATCTATCTATCTATCTATCTATCTATCTATCTATCTATCTATCCATCCATCTATCCATCCATCCATCCATCCATCCATCCATCCATCCATCCATCCAGTGGTAGGATTCAGCCGGTTCGCACCACTTCGGCAGAACCGGTAGCTATTTTTTTTGTTGCCCAGGCCCAGAATGGACTTCCGGAAGTGGCATTCACACAGAGAACCGGTTGTTCACCTATTTGAATCCCACCACTGCCCAAGGCCTGTAACCCAGTTGACCCATTAGTCCATTTTATTGATTGGCCTGCTACTCTTGAGTCATAAACGTCACAACTGGGCTCACTTCAAGGCCCTGGGCCACTTGCAGACATTGCGGTCGTAAGTTGGGGACTACCCCATTTATAATGTGGATTTATATGCAGCCACCTGAGAAAACAGATTCCATGGATTTTTAAAACAGTGCAACACCCCAAACTCAGTCAGCAGGCCTGTTCTGATAACATCTTAATCTGTTGGAAATTAAACCATGTTCCTGCTACAATGAGATCCTAAACAAAACAAACCAGTTGGATTCCTACAACGTCCACTAAACATCCCCAAAAAATCATCACCAGGGTCAAAACTGACCCACTATTATTACTTATCCTTCTTATTATCTTCTTTAGTCCCTTACTCTTCTTGGTACCATTATTATTATTATTATTATTATTATTATTATTATTATTATTATTATTATTATTATTATTATTATTCATTGCAGTCAGCCAGATGTTCAGACTGGATTTGGCATTTTTGTCTACCTATGGAGTCCTTACCAAGGACCTGGGATAGGCAGGTGTGGATGATTGAATTGATGGTATTACAGATCTCGTCACAGGATGGAAGCTGTTCCTAGTAAGGCTGCCTTTTGCAATTGACTGCTGGCGAATTTGTCAATGCCAGTGGTGTCCAAGTGACAATTTGTTATCAAAAGGCAGCCTTACTTGGAACAGCTTCCATCCTGCAACGATGATAATGATGATGATGATGATGATGACGATTCTGTTGCTTTGCATGTACACTGAGAGCTGCCCCACTGGAGACAAAATTCCTTCTGTGTCTAATCACACAAATAAAGCATTCAAAGCTGCTTAGCATGGACTTCTGCAGATGGGGGTTAAGATCCTCACTTTTTTTAACACCCTCCCCCCCCCCCTTCCCGGGTATCCCTACCAAATTACTGTACTGGGCTAATGCCCGGCCCAGGTTTGTCCCTGATCTAGTTCAGGATAAATGCAGATCTTTCCTTTACCAGGTTGCGTGTAAAACAAGCCACCAAGTGAAGCCACAATATGGTTTTATTGGTTTGGAAATTGCACGTTACATAAATACAGCCATTTATCAATGCACGTTTAGGGTTGAGCGCTTGTGCGAACCCGCCCAGCTTGCGGTGTCTGAATTTACTGCCGATATCAGGTCATCCTCGACTTACGACAGTTCATTTAGTGACCGTTCGAAGTTACAACGGCACTGGAAAAAGGGACTTGTGACATTTTTCACACTTGCGACCGTTGAGGCGTCCCCATGGTCGCCTGATTTACATTTTGGATACTGGACAACTGGCTCATATTTATGACGGTCACTGTGTCCCGGGGGGGTGTCATGTGATCCCCTTTTGCGACCTTCTGGCCAGCCAAGTCAATGGGGGGGGGAGCCAGATTCGTTTAACAACCGCAGTGATTGGCTTAACAAAAGAGGTTATAAAATGGGGCGCGACTCACCGAACAACTTGCTTAGCAATGGAAATTGTGGCCGTAAAGTTGAGGACCACCCGTATTTCCTTCCACAGCTGGAACAGCCCAATCCACCCTGCCTTTTCATGGTTATCCCAGCACTGTATGAACCCCAAAGAGCCCCCCACCCTTTTTCCCCACCCACCCCTCCAATTTCTCCTCCAGCATCTTCCAACAACTGGGAAGTGGGGCCAACAGAACCATAAGATAGGAAGAAGAGTCATTCACCCCATCCAGTTTTGGGTTTTTTTCAAGAGCGAGATCCGAACATTGTCCAAATGGCCGCATCTGCGTGCCGCGAGACAGAGTCTAAAGCAGAGTTTATCCGGTCTTGGGAACGTCTTCCCTTCCCCACAAGGTCCAAAAGCAGTAAATCGGGCATCGTCCAGCGACTCAAGAACCCCCCCCCCCAAAGTTTGGGCATTTGGAGAACATTCCCCCTGGATCTTCTGAACTGGACAATTCCAGACTCTGTTCCAAAGTCAACACACGGCAGCCCTTCAGCGGCTTTATCCCTTGTTTACAATTCTTGAACCCCGATCAAATTTTAATTTAGTTCTTTCTTTGTTGCTGTCTTGCAGCAAATTGCTTCCTCCCACTTCTCTTAGCAAAAAGAGTGGATTCTTCTTCCCGGCCTGTTCTTGGTGGTGGATCCGTGTCTCTCTTCTTCCTCCTCCTCCTCCTCCTTCTTCTTCCTCTCTCTCTCTCTCTCTCTAGAGAAAGTCCTCTCCACCACCGAAGCCCAATAATTAAAAATAAAAATAAAAGAATCCTCACCTCCCCCCCAAAAACATAAATTTACCAAATAAAATAATAATAATAATATTAATAACAATATAAGTTGGTTTTTTTAAAAAAAAAAAAAAGAGAGAGAGAGAGAGAGAGAGAGAAAGAAAAAAAAATGCCTTTTTCGAGAAGACGAAAAGAAAAAGATGGGGAAAAAAGGCAGAAGGGAAAACGAAGCCGACGTCCTCACAGTCCTGACTCCGTCCCCAGAGGGATCTTTCAGACGTTCCAAACTGTCCCGAACGGCAATCCCAAGTCCGCCACCGATCCTATTTCTCAGCTACACCGGCAGGATTTGACAATCATGTTGGAAAGTTGTTCTACTTTGGCTTGTCGCCCGACGTAGTAAATGATGCCCAGCGGCTCCAGCTCGTCGGGGACACAACAGGGTGCGGCTGAGGCCGAGGGATTGTGCAGGTTGTAGAGAGCGAGGACCTATGCGGAGGAGACAAGAACAGCCTGCTTAGAGATGCAAGATTTCACAGTAAGGCCACACGCCTGGAATACGGCGTCCAGTGTTGGTCACCACATCACAAAAAAAGCTGTTGAGACTTTGGAAGAAGTATGAAGAAGAGCAAGGAGAGAAACAACCTGGAACTAATCAGAGAGAGAAGCAACCTGGAACTAAGGAGAAATTTCCTGACGGAACAATTAATCAGTGGAACGGCTTGCCACTAGAAATTGTGGGTGCTCCAACACTGGAAGTTTTTAAGGAGGGACTGGACAACCAATTGTCTGAAATGCTATAGGATTTTCTGCCTGAGCAGGGGGTTGGACTTGATGACCTCCAAGGTCCCTTCCAACTCTGTTTATTTTATTCTATTCTATTCTATTCTATTCTATTCTATTCCTCCATTCCATTATTCTATTCTATTCTATTCTATTCTATTCTATTCTATTCTATTCTATTCTATTCTATTCCATTATTCTATTCTATTCTATTCTATTCTATTTTATTCTATTCTATTCTATTCTATTCCTCCATTCCATTATTCTATTCTATTCTACAATTCTATTCTATTCTATTCTATTCTATTCTATTCTATTCTATTCTATTCTATTCTATATTCTATTCATCAGATGATCGAATATCTTCCCCAAGTGACACAATTGTGCAAAACTTTTAATTGGAAAGTCTGTTTTATCCTCCTCTTGTTTTTTCTCCTACTCTAATAACCAGTGGTTGTGTTCCTGTCTTTTATTGTACTCTTTTTAGGGTTAAAGCTGGTCAAACACCATAATAAAGAGATGGGATTGGATTGGATAGTTTAGCCATCCAAACAAAGCCTTCAGCACAGGTCTGGGCCACCCACATCTTTCTTCCCTACCATCTTGAACCCAACAGGCCATCAATCTTGGCTGGTCGAATGCCAGTGCCTTATGCAACGTTTAGCTCATGACTTCTTCGGAGGGAGGTGCCAGGCTGCAAACCAACCGCAGGGTGGCTGGGTGCCCTGTTTTTTCATCCAAAGCCAGGAAATTAATTATCCTTCCTCCTCTATCAAAACAACCCAAGTAGAGAACCAGGGGTGTCCACAGAGCAGGGTCATTAAACTCCTAAAAAACCAATAAGGGCTTGACCGTTCCATAACCTGCAAATATAGTTTGAAGTTTAAAAAAGTTGGGCCTGCTTCACAAGGGATCGGGAATTAGTATTCTTTGCAATATACTTATCAATATTCAACTAAGGGGGAGATGATATATGTATATAGGTAGTCCTCGACTTAACGACCACAATTGAGCCCAAAATTTCTGTTGTTCAGTGAGACGTTTGTCAAGTGAGTTTTACGATCTTCCTTGTTAAACAAATCACCGCAGCGGATAAGTTAGCAACCCGGTTGTTAAGTGAATCTGGCTTCTCCTATTGACTTGGCTAGTCAGAGGATCACAAAAGGGGATCACATGATCCCGGGACACTGCGGCCGTCATAAATATGAGTCAGTTGCCACACGTCTGAATTTTGATCACGTGACCACGGGGATGCTGCAACGGTCGTAAGGGTGAAAAACGGTCATAAGGTCCTTTTCCCAGGGCCCTTGTAACTTTCAACGGTCACTAAATGAACTGTCATGAGTTCAGGACTATGTGCCTCTTTTAAAAAAAAAAAAAATACACATTTTTAATATGCGGTTTATTTTTTGTTTTCGTAATAAAAAAAATAATTCCCCCTTTTTTTGGAGTTTTGTGTAAATACAAATAAAAAAGTTGAAAAGCAAAAAAAAAATAATTAGTATTTAAAAAAAATCAACCAGGGTGTTGAGGGGACCGTCTCAGGCTGCCATCTTGACTTTTTTGACCACATTGGCCAGACAGCCCTGAGGGAAATGGGGAAACTGCTTTCCTTTACCTTGCTGTATTGAGTGTCTGAGCTCCAGAGATAGGGACAAGGCCCCATGCAGAAATTGGCGTAGTAGCCTTTGGGTTCGTGGATCCACTTCCATTTTAAATCTTTTCGGAAGTCGATGTAGAAACGGCGTACGCAGCAATTCTTCGCTTCCGGTGATCTAGGAAAAAGGAGCCATAAAAATGCCAATATAATATAATATAATAGAGTAGAGTAGAGTAGAGTAGAGTACTATAGAGTATAGAGGAGTATAGTATAGTATAGTATAGTATAGTATAGTATAGTATAGTATAGTATAGTATAGTACAGTACAGTACAGTACAGTACAGTACAGTACAGTATAATTATATAATATAATATAATATAATATAATATAATATAATGCAACATAATATAACATAGTATAGTATAATTATAACATAACATAACATAATGGAACAGAAATATAAGGGAATGGAATGGAACGGAACGGAATGGAACAGAAATATAATGTAATGGAACGGAACGGAATGGAACAGAAATATAATATAATGTAATGGAACAGAACAGAACGGAACGAAATGGAACAGAAATATAATATAATGTAATGGAACGGAATGGAACAGAAATATATAATATAATGGAACGGAACGGAATGGAACAGAAATATAATATAATGTAATGGAACAGAACAGAACGGAACGAAATGGAACAGAAATATAATATAATGTAATGGAACAGAACGGAACGGAACGGAATGGAACAGAAATATAATGTAATGGAACGGAACAGAATGGAACAGAATTACTTTGCTTGGCCAAGTGTGATTAGGCCCACAAGGAATTTACTGCAGAAGCTCTCAGTGTACATGCAAAACAACAGAGTAATAATAATCATAATAAAGATATCAATAAGAGAAGGGAGTGGAAAAGATGAGAAGGGTAATAATAGTAATACAGCCATACTACATGGGTAAATATACTTAGACATAAGATAGTACTTTGAGAGGTGTTCAGCGGACTGATGGCCCAAGGGAAAAAACTGTCTCTGTGTCTCATATATTTATTTGATTGATTGATGGATCAATAAACTTGATCTATCAATCAAGTTTTAAAACAGCTGATGGTGGGAAGCACCCAGCCTAGCAGGGAGAAGGGGTCAAGCACAAAGCTAGCCTGGAGTCTATGCGCAAGCGGAAAAGGGCTAGAAAAGACCCTCCCAAAGTTCCTTGGAGGCTTATCTATTCGGTGACTGCCAGTCTGGGGAGATTCCTGTATTAGAGGCAGAACGTAATAAAGTAAAAAAAAAACCTCAGAATCTGCTTGTCTGGGTCTGGCTGTTCACCCCTGACAGCGACTTACTGACTGCTGCAGAACTCTGCATCCGGAGCGGCCCGTTTTCTCCGCTTGTGACTTGAGGAATCAGCTCGTTCCGGAGTGGTGGCCATGATCAGCAGGTACGGCCGCTGCTTTGTGTCCAGACTTAATGGACCCTGGTCCCCTCGTTTGACGGTGATGCCTGCAAAGGAAAGTGGCGTCACTGACTTGCATTCTCCGCAAAGTGACACGGGAGGCTCCGTTGAATTTGGGAATCTGTTGCGACTTTCCTCAAAACGCAGCTGGAAAACCGCTCTAAATTTTACCGCGGATGCATCAGGAGGGAAGGAAGAATCCAAATTACAGGTAGTCCTCAACTTTCAACAGAACAGAACAGAATAGGAAATAATAATAGAGTAGAGTAGAGTAGAGTAGAGTAGAGTAGAAGAATAGAATAGAATAGAATAGAATAGAATAGAAGAATAGAATAATTGGAAGGGACCTTGGAGGTCATCTAGTCCAACCCCCTGCTCAGGCAGGAAAACCTATACCAGTGATGGCAAGCCTTTTAGAGACCGAGTGCCCAAACTGCAACCCCAAACCCACTTATGCTTGGTCGGGTGCCGGGTGGGTGTGGCCAATTGGCTGGGCGTGGCCCATTGGGTGGGCGTGGCTGCGGTAGTAACAGCAGACTGGGTGGGACTAAAAAGTTCAATCAATCAATTCCAACTTTGCAAGATCTTTTTTTTCCCCGCGAGAAGTTGAAATTGATTAATTGATTGAACCTTTTTTTTTTTTGCACATGGCGGCAGAGGCCTAAAGTGAAAAAGTTTTATAAAACCCAGCTGAAGGGCTAGGACTGGGGCGACAGCGCGCGTGCCCACAGAGAGGGCTCTGAGTGCCGCCTCTGGCACCCGTGCCATAGGTTCGCCACCACTGACCTATACCATTTCAGACAAATGGCTGTCCAGTCTCTTCTTAAAAACTTCCAGTGTTGGAGCATTCACTGCTTCTGGAGGCAGGTGGTTCCACTGGTTAATTGTTCTAACTATCAGGAAACTTCTCCTTAGTTCTAGGTTGCTTCTCTCTTTGGTTAGTTTCCATCTGTTGCTTCTTGTCCTGCCTTCAGGTGCTTTGGAGAATAGCTTGACTCCCTCTTCTTTGGGGCAGCCCCTGAGATATTGGAACCCTGCTATCATGTCCCCCCTCGTCCTTGAGTGTCCATGCCCAAATAAATCCAATTAAACGGGAGAACACCCTTTAATAATATGACATGTAGCTCTTGATTTACGACTGTAATTGAGCCCAGAATTATAGTTATAAGTCATGCCTGGCGGAGATGGTGGCTGATTTTGTGAGCTTGTTTTGAAGTTGCGTTAAGTGAATCCATTGTCCCCAATGGGCCTTTCTTTGCCGGCAACTGGAAGTAAAAGCCAGTTTCCAACCCAAAAAAGGATATAAATTGTGGTCACATAACTGGGGAGGGGGGTGTCATTGGAACGTCAAATCTGGGTCGTAAGACATTTCTCGGGAGGTCCGTCGTCATTTTGAACAGTCACTAAGCTATTGGTCATAAGTTAAGGTCTATCTGTAATATAGTACAGTGTTTTCTCAATCCTGACAACTTTAAGACTGGCTGGGGAATTCTGGGAGTTGAAGTCCACCCGTCTTAAAGTCGCCAAGTTTGAGAAGCAAAGAGAAAGAAGGGAGGTAGCTTCCGATATTCACAAGTGACTCCTCCATCATTTTGACCATCCTCTGACCAAAGCTTTCCTCTTAACTCATTACTCATACATTCTGAGCATCCGAGCACATGACGCAAGGTTGGCAGACAAATAAAAGAAGCTTAATTTTCTTTTCTCTCGCCCTCTTCTCCTCTCTCCCCCCCCCACCATCACCCCGGGAGCAGAAGGCCAGTAATTCCTTGCCCAAAAAAAATCTGACCGAGGCTTTTGTAGGGAAGGAGAAATTGGTGCGCTCACCCAAAGGTGCTTCTGTTCTAATTTGGGAGGAAGTTTAGGAAGAAATAACGGTGCTAGGTGTGTTTTGGCGGCAAAATTCTTAAGAAGGGTGTATGCCTGGCAAGCAGGACCCCTCCAGTGGACTCTGCACATGGCCCCGTCCTGATGGCCAGTGTCCCCTGCAGAATTTCAGTCACCATGATACAAAAAAGAGGTTGAGACTCTAGAAAGAGGGCAGAGAAGAGCACCAAAGATGATCAGGGGACCGGAGGCTAAAACATACATGAAGGAAGGTTGCAGGAATTGGGTATGTCTACTGTAGTCCAGGGGTAGGCAACCTTTTATGACTCGTGGACTTCAACTCCCAGAATTCCTGAGCCAGCCGTGCTGAGGGGAAAGGGAGAGGTTTCCAAGCTGAGCCACGCTGACTCAGGAATTCTGGGAGTTGAAGTCCAGCCATCTCTGAGTGGCCAAGGTTGAGAAATACAGGCCTAGACCAGGGGTAGGCAACCTTGGCTCTTTTATGAGTCGTGGACTTCAACTCCCAGAATTCCTGAGCCAGCATGGTCTCCCTTTCCCCTCAGCATGGCTGGCTCAGGAATTCTGGGGGTTGAAGTCCACAAGTCTTAAAGTTGCCAAGGTTGAGGACCCCTGAAGTAGATGGTTGAGAAGCTCCATAGACATTTGAGGGGCTGTCACAGAGAAGAGGTGGGGGGTCAAGCTATTCCCCAAAGCCCCTGAAGGCAGGACAAGAAGCAACGGATGGAAACTAACCAAGGAGAGAAGCAACCTAGAACTAAGGAGAAACTTCCTGACAGTGAGAACAATTAACCAGTGGAACAACCTGCCTCCAGAAGCCGTGAATGCTCCAACATTAAGAAAAGACTGGACAGCCATTTGTCTGAAATTGTATAGGGTCTCCTCCTTGAGCAGGGGGTTGGACTAGAAGACCTCCAAGGTCCCTTCCAGCTCCGTTATACTGTTACTTTCTTTTAGTTGACATAAGTCAACTAAAATTGTGTGCACAATTTTCAGCAATCCTGTGGAGGAGAGTCTTAGCAGGCTGTATCTCATGGATGTATGTGTGTGAGAGAGAGACACACACACACACACACAGAGACACAGACAAACAACTGAGTCCCTGGGCTTGGCCCAGCTCACATACACATTACCCTCTGCCAGCCCCCCACCTTCGCCCCCAAACACTCTGGCTGAAAGAACGGCAGGCATCAGAAGAAGGAAGCCTGGCTCAGCCAGATTCCCGGAACAAAATCTGACTGTGTGACTTGCAATTGTCACTTCTTGAGTGTAAAGTTGTGTAGGCAGCGGAGATGTGCGAAAGGGGGTCACCGGGGGAGGGGGGGGAGACAGATGAGGCCTCTAGTCAGGACCTGGGTCTCGACTCCCCCACTAGGGTGACAGCCAAAGATTTATCTTCTGAATGCTGGGATTTTCTCTCTCTCTCTCTCTCTCTCTTCAATTCCCTGCAAATTATCCTGGGGCAGGGACTACTGGGGTCTCCCCAGAGATTCTAGCCCACAGGGGTGTATGGGAGCTACAGCCATTATTTAGATAACTTAATAAGCAATGGGGTCAAATGAGATCTTGGCCAGGGGCCGACCCCACCCAGCCCACTCCCCTTTGCCCAGCTCTTACCTTCGATTTTTATCGCTAGATCATTTCGTTCGCCATCACAGGAACAATGAGTGCCAAGTCGAAATCTTCCCAGCTCGTCTGAAAGACATACATTAGGACTGGGGGGTCAGAATTGGTGGTCTCCCTAAAGCCAGCAAGCTGTTTCAGAGAAGCTTGGCGGACTTCAACTCCCAGAATTCCTCCAGCCAGCATGCTTTCTTAATAGAATAGAGCTGGAAGGGACCTTGGAGGTCTTCTAGTCCAGCCCCCCACTTAAGCAGGAGAACCTATATCATCTCAGACAAGTGACTGTCTAGCCCAGGGGTAGTCAACCTTGGCTCTTTTATGACTGGTGGACTTCAACTCCCAGAATTCCTGAGCCAGCCGTGCTGAGGGGAAAGGGAGAGGTTTTCATAGCTGGCTCAGGAATTCTGGGAGTTGAAGTCCACCAGTCATAAAAGAGCCAAGGTTGACTACCCCTGGGCTAGCCTCTTCTTCAAAATCTCCAGTGATGGCGTTCCCAGAATTCCCCAGCCATCATACTTTAAGATGCGTGGACTGCAACTCCCACAATTCCCAGCCAGCATGCTTTAAGATGCGTGGACTTCAACTCCCACAATTAGCACTTTTTAAGATGGGTGGACTTCAACTCCCACAATTCCCAGCCAGCGTGCTTTAAGATGGGTGGACTTCAACTCCCACAATTCCGCAGCCAGCACATTTTAAGACGCGTGGACTTCAACTCCCAGAATTCATCAGAATTCACCAGAATTCTGGGAATTAAAGTCCACCCATCTCAAAGCTGCTAGGTCTGAGCAACCCTACCTTATTTGCAGGCAGGTGTCTGAAAATTTAGTCTACAAAGGAGAGCAAGTCCCCAGGGCCACCCCAGGTCACGCACCCTCCTTACACCCTACCTCTACTTGCGAGCCACAACCGGAGGACGTTGGTGACGTCGAAGGACAGCCATTCTTTTTCGCTCTTCATCTTCACCGACAGCCCTTGCAGGTAGTACCAAGTGGAGTCATTCCCAGAGTGGGCTTTTTGCTAAGGAGAGACGGACAAGACAGAATGCATAAAGGAATAGCTTCTGTGCACATTTACCCAGCCAGACAAAACATCCTGCCTGGTTTCTCCTCCAGCTTTTGAGCTTTCGGTTTTAAAAGAAAAAGGTTCTAGTCCTCAAAGCATTTCGGTGCTATTTTTCTGCTATTGGGGCAGAACCAAGAGGCAAAGTTTCCTCTCCTCCCCCCCCAAAAGTGGTCCCTTTGGCAGTGTCATTTAACCTCGCCACAAAAAGAGAAACAGTCGGTGGTGCAAGTGAGGTTGGCAATAACATTTCACACTAGAAGAAATTTAACGAGGTTTCGTTTTTCCTTTTCCTTACCGTTACAGCAGGAGTGTCCAACCTTGGCAACTTTTAAGGCCTGTGGAATTCTGGGAATTGAATCCCACACATCTTAAAAGTTACCAAGGTTGGACATCCCTGAATTAGAGAGATCTCCTTTCGGTTCTGTCGGAACCTCGAACGGTCACTAAACGAATGGTTGGCATCAAAGACGACCTGTGTTCTGGGAACGGTTGAGGAGGCGCTGTCTTCACCCTCTTTCTCCCACACAAACTAGCTAAGCTTTGCTGTCTCTGGAATGCAGCCCCTCCCTTCTGGGAATCCAGACTACGTTCCACCCCATCCTACCTGGTAAAGCTCCATTCGCTGCTCTTGTCCGTTCCCAGAGGCGTGCATCCTCAGCTCTGCACGGTACAGCAAGTTGGGGTCGCTAAGGACCTGCCGGATTGGTCCGATTTCGAATCCAAAGTAGACGTTTTGGTCATCCTTCTTGTACTGGTCACCGTAGCTTGCTGAGACAGGAGAGAGGAAGCAGAGCAGGAGTTTAGCCGAAGGTCTTCCCGCCTTGGCCACTTTGAGATGAATGGACTGCAGGGTCCAGAATTCCCCAGCCAGCGTGGGAATTCTGGGAGTTGACGCCCACCCATTTTGAAGCAGGCTAGTTGGGGAATTCTGGGGTTCACCCATTATAAGTTTCATTAGTGTTTTAGAGTTGGTAACTTTTAAGGCTTGCGGATTTCAACGTGACGGCTGAGGAATTCTGGGAGTTGAAGTCCACAAGTCTTTAAAGTTGACAAGTTTGGACACCCCTGGTTTAGAGAAAGAGAAAACTACCCATCGGTGTTCAGAGATCGGTAGAACTACATCTTCCAGCCATCTCAGCCAGGAGGGAAAGGAACAACTACACTGGGGCATTCTGGGAGTTGAAGTCTATACATCTTCAAGTGACTCAGGTTGAAAAATTCTGTCTTAAACTCAGCAAGGGTCAAATTCTTTTATTCAGCCTCACAATAGTGCAGCCAGGAGCTTATCCTGAGAAAAAGACCATCATGGTCCAATTCACACAAGCTTCTAAACCAGGGGTCTCCAAACTTGGCAGCTTTAAGACTTGTGGACGACTTCAATTCCCAGAATTCCTCAGCCAGCACAGTCCACAAGTCTTAAAGCCGCCAAGTTTGGAGACCCCTGTTCTAAACCCAGGTTAACAAACCACAATGGCTCCGTTCATACGACAAGCAACATTCAAACGAGAACTAATGTCTGGCCTAAGGTGATGGTCTTGCCGAGTTTATTAACCAAATTTAAATTACAGGTAGTTCCCCCACTTACGACCCCAATCGAGTCCAACACTTCTGTTGCTAAGTGAGACAGTTTTGCCTCATTTTATGACCTTTCTTGCCACAGCTGTTAAGTGAATCACTGCAGCTGTGTAATGAGTAACGCAATCGCTTAGCAAATCTGGCTTTCTCATTGATTTTGCTCATTGCAAAAGGGGGTCACATGACTCCGGGACGCTGCAACCGTCATAACTACGAGTCAGTTGCCCTGAATGTGTGACCGTGAGGATGCTGCAACCTTTATAAGTGTGAAAAGCAGTCATAAGTCACTTTTTTTTTTTCAGTGTCGTCGTAACTTCAAATGGTTACTCAAGAAGATTCATCATCTCCAACTCCCTTTTAAGCCAGCTCATCAGAATCAGCAAATCAATCCACAGGTTTTGTATTCAAGATCTGAGCCCAGCTCTTTGGATCAGGCCCAGCTGTATGACCTTTGGGAGTCAGTTGTTTTTGGAAGACTAACTCATCCCACCATCCATCCAGGCAAACCAGCCCAACCGGGTTTTTTTGGCCCGTATGACTTCGTCACAGCGTCTATTTTGGCTACAGGAAGAGGCTATTTTTAAAGTTTTTCTCTTCCTTGTGAGATCAAAGGAGCTTTGACTTTGGTCAAACAGACAGAGATCATGGGTTTGTTTGTTTTTTTTTCAGTTTCTCTCCAAGTCTCCAACCACAGCATTAAGGATTGTTCGGGTTTTTTCCGGGTTTTTTTCTTTTTTCAAAAATATGTACTGTCTTCCGTTGCAAACAAACAGGACACAGCAATTTGGAGAAAACAAAGATAGAATCCAAGGAGAGGAAATTGGAAGGAAGAAAGGAAGAAAAACTTCAGAGGAGGAAAAACAAAATATGTTGTATTTCTAATAAAAGAGAAGAGAGCAAGTATACGAGAGGGAGAGAGAAAGAGAGAGAGAGAGAGAGGATAAAGAAAAGAGAAAAAAGGAAAAAGAAAGAAGATAGAAAGAATATAAAGAAAAAGAAAAGAAGGAAAGAAAGAATATAAAGAAAAAGAAGAAGAAAAAGAAGGAAAGAAAGAAGATAAAGAAAAAAGAAAGAGAAAAGGAAAAAAGAAAGAAGATAGAGAAAAAGAAAGAAAAAGAAAGGAAAGAAGGAAGAAAGCAAGAAAGAAGGAAGGAAGGAAGGAAGAAAAAGAAAGAAAGAAAAAAAGAAAAGAAAGAGGGAGGGAGGGAGATATAGAAAGGGAGAAAGAAAGAAAAAGTAAGGAAGGAAAAGAAAGAAAGAAAGAAAGAAAGAAAGGGAGGGAGGGAGGGAAGGAGAGAGATAGAAAGGAAGGAAGGAAGGAAGAGAAAGAAAGAAAGAGGGAGGGAGGGAGGGAGATAGAAAGGGAGAAAGAAAGAAAAAGGAAGGAGGGAGGGAAGGAAAAAAGAAAGAAATAGAGAGAAGAAAGGAAGAAAAAGAAAAAAGGAAGAAAGAAAGAAAAAAAGGGAAGGAGAGATAGAAAGAGAAAGAAAGAAAAAGAAAGGAAGGAAGAGAAAGAAAGAAAGAAAGGGAGGGAGATAGAAAGGGAGAAAGAAAGAAAAAGGAAGGAGGGAGGGAAGGAAGGAAGAAAGAAAGAAAAAAGAAAGAAAGAAAAGAAAGAAAGAAGGAAAGAAAGAAAGAAAGAAAGAAAGAAAGAAAGAAAGAAAGAAAGAAAAAGGCATTCCCCAGGTTGCCAACTAACCTAAGGAGATTGGCTTTGTCTGCTCTTCTGCCCTCCATCTGCAGAAAGCAGCCAATGTAAACTTGCAGAAGTGTGAACTTAACCAACCAGCCCAGGAAGAACTGGCGAAAAACAAAAATCACATTTTTCCAGAGAGCGTCCTTTGAGCTCCCATGAAATCACACAGTGTTTTCCCTTCCAGATGTTGGGAGTCTGACTCAGCCGTGGGGTCATCTCTGAAGTTGCCAGATATATTTTTTTTTCCCCTCGCCCAGCCACAGCTGCCTCGGTTGCAAAGAGCTGCTCTGGGTCCTGCACCCCTTTAAAACCGGGGTCCCCAAACCGGGCAACTTTAAGACTTGCGGACTTCAACTCCCAGAATTCCTCAGCCTGAGGAATTCTGGGAGTTGAAGTCCGCAAATCTTAAAGTTGCCCGGTTTGGGGGGACCCCTCCTCAAAAAGCACCGAAGCCCTGGGGGGGGGGTGGGGGAGAAAGAGAAGCAGGAAAGTTGGCTTCCCCTGTCCACATCATCCCAGCCACCACCACCACTAGGGACCACTTCCCTATCGGTGGCATGACAGGAAAAATTGCCCCCCCCCCGGGTTTCCCACTTCCCCTCTTCGGAGTTTGGATGTGGTCATCCTTTTTTCATTGTTTCCAGATGACATGGCCGCGGGGAGGAGAGGGACGAGAGGGACCGCAATTTCTTGAGAAAAAAAAACAACAGAAAAAAGGCATTTTACAGCTGATGTTTTACAGCTGCAAAAAGGAAGATAAGGCGTAGGGCCTTATCAGCCAGGAGGAAATTCCCAAACTATTTTGGGACTTTCCAACATGACAAAGCCTAGAAATAAAACGAGGTGGAACCGGTTTGCCCTACTCTCTCCCCTAAATTAGAAGTCGAACTCGGTTCCCCGCTGACCTCAGTTTTCCTTGATCAGATCCCGAAAAGGGTTTCTAAAAAAGAAGACTTTGCGTTTAGTCTTACAACATGCTGGCTAGGGGATTCTGGGAGTTAACATCCATCCGATTGAAAGCGTGAGCTCTGGGGAATTCTGGGGGTTGAAGTCCATGCATCTTAAAGTCCATGCATCTTAAAAGCATGCTGGCTGGGGAATTCTGGGAGCTGAATTTCCACCCAACCAAAACATACAGTCTGGGGGATTCTGGGAGTTGAAGTCCACCCATCTTAAAGCAAGCTGCCTGGAGAATTCTGGGAGTTGAAACCAACCCATCTTAAAGCATGCTGCCTGGAGAATTCTGGGAGTTGAAGTCCACCCAACCAAAACATACAATCTGGGGGATTCTGGGAGTTGAAGTCCATCCATCTTAAAGCAAGCTGCCTGGGGGATTCTGGGAGTTGAAGTCCACATATCTTCAAGTTGCCAAGCTTTATGTGTGTTTTTTTTAAAAGCCCTCCCTTTTGGGGTACACACCGTCTTCTTACTTCAGTGTAAACCTCACTGGGGACGCAGGTATGAACTACCGGTACCATGACAGATATGACTCATTGTAGGCCTATTGCTCTCTCTGATCTAGCCCTGGATCTTCACTTCAGGGGGTTGGACTAGAAGACCTCCAGGGTCCCTTCCAACTCCTATTCTCCAAGGCACCTGAAGGCAGGACAAGAAGCAACGGATGGAAACTAATCTAGGAGAGAAACCAACCTAGAACTAAGGAGAAACTTCCTGACAGTGAGAACAATTAACCAGTGGAACAACCTGCCTCCAGAAGCGGTGAATGCTCCAACACTGGAAGTTTTTAAGAAGAGACTGGACAGCCATTTGTCCGAAATGGGATAGGGTTTCCTGCCTGAGCAGGGGGTTGGACTAGATGACCTCCAAGGTCCCTTCCAACTCTGTTATTCTAATTCTGTTCTGTTCTGTTCTTGTTTACCCCACAGAAATGACACCAGTGGCTGAGCCTTTGGATCTGGAAAGTCTCCCCTCGGCTTTGGGGCTGCTGTGGGAGGACAGAAAACGACCGGATGGGGCTTCTGAGGGAGAAGAACCTGAAGCCACAAGGGGAAGTTGGTTTAGGGACCAGGCGGGGGTCCTTATCCCCGAGAAGGGGCACAAGACATCCGTCTTTGGAACATCAGCTTATCAGCAGCCCCAAGGCTTTGCGAAGTCATGCTACCGGATGGGTTTGTGTCAGCTCTCCCCACAACGTGCGCTCCCCAACACACACACACACACACACACACACACACACACACACACACACACACACGGGGCTGGAGTCTTTGAGTCTCGCCTCTTGTGCGACTTCCCTCGTTCTCCCCTGGGTGACGGTAAACCACAGAAGCCACCCGGGGGCTTTTTCTGTGGAAAAGCACTCTGCACGCGCACCCAGGCGCCCTTCCTACTTTTGATGGCAGGGCTTCGGGCTTTCTGCATGGATGGGATGAATTGAGGATGCCGGGCAGTGCCAGTTAGGTAGGCTGGGTTGGCTGGCATGGTGTGAAACTGGCTACGATTTCATTGCACACGAACAGAGCTGGAAGGGGACCTTGGAGGTCATCTAGTCCAACCCCCAGCTCAGGCAGGAAACCCTACACCATTTTAGACAAGTGCTTGTCCAGGCTCTTCTTGAAAAACCTCCAGCGATGGAGCACCCAACAACTTCTGGAGGCAAGTCGTTCCACTGGTCAATCGTTCCAACTGTTAGGAAATTCCTCCTTCGTTCTGGATTGTTTTTCTCCTCCTTTAGTTTCCATCCGTTGCTTCTTCTCCTGCCTTCTCTTTGGAGAATAGCTTGACAGCCCCTCCCTCAAAGATTGGAAGACTGCCAGTTGTCATAAAGTGCCAGATCGAGGCCTTCAAATGTCAGAATCTTAATTTAATTTTTTTTTTTTTACCTTCCGCCTCTTCTGTCTTTTGCAAGATTGGGAAGGAAAATTTGCACGAGGAGCTTGGGAAAAAAAATAGGGGGGGGGGAATGGGCCCTCACACACAATCAGCAGGATAGGATGATCAAAGCCAGTGAACTAGGGTGGCTGAATTAACGGAGCCTCCAGGGGCAGAAGCAGTCTACCTCAGGCGACCAGCAAGCAATCCAAGAGAAACACGCTCTCCCAAGTGAGCATAAATGCAATTTGGCAACAAAACCGGACCATCTATTTGCCAAGTGGACTTGGCTCAGTTTATACAGGTGGTCCTCGGCTTACGGCCACAACGAGCCCCCAAATTTATGTTGCTAAGCCAGACAGTTGCTAAGTCAATTTTGCCCCAGATTATCACCTTTCTTGGCCCGCTTGCTAAGCGAACCGCCGCAGCTGTTTCAGTTAGTAACACGGCCGTTAAGCGAACCTGACTTGCCCGTTGACTTTGCTTGTTCAGACGGTCACAAAAGGGGACGATCACGTGAGCCTGGGACACCGCAACCGTCATAAATCCGAGTCAGTGGCCAAAACGTCTGAATTTTGATCAGTTTTGAGGATGCTGGAATGGTCATAAAGTGTGAAAAAGGATCGTAAGTCGTCGTTTTTCAGTGTTGCTGACACTTTGGTTGCTAAACGAACCGTCGTAAGTCAAGGACCACCTGTACTCAGGAGTCGAGCGATGGAGGTGAAGTGGATCGCACAAACAGCAAAAGAAAAAAAAGAAAATGGGTCCATTTTTCTCTTTTTTTGGCAGAAACCCGTCCAGGCCAAACCTCCTTTTGGGAGAATTTAAGCCCTACAGCACAACACACACCTACGGAAAAGTCTTCCTGTGCTTACGCAAACTTTTTCCCGGATTCCCGGGCTGGCTGGCACGTGCCGGGAAGCGGGGGGGGAGGCGATAGAGAATCCATCTTACCTTCTAGGAGACCACAAGAACTACGAAAGGTGCCACCCACGCCTGGAGGGGCCGTGGATTTGTTCAGGCGGCACGCCAGCCACACCCAGCAGGTAATTACACCTTGAACCAAGACGGAGTTGGCTGCAATCTGGGTGGGATCTGCGTCTTTTCGGCAGACTCTTGTCCCCCCCCTCCCCTCCCCTGTCTGTCATCTCCTCCCCGCTCAGTTCCAAGAAGTCCGGATGCTAATTTTTGCAGCCTGCGGGAAGTTTTATAGCCAAATATATGTTATTTTTTATACCCTTTCCATCTTCCCTTCAAAACACGAACAGAATCCACCACGGGACTGAGAATCCGTGTCTCCGGCGCGTAACGGACAGTCAAGCGGAAACTCAGCGAACCGACTCAAATTGACCCAATCCACATATCAAAGGATAAGGTCTGCAAATACAAACGGGGTTAGTTAAATGAGGTCTCCCAGAGGAACTGCATGTTCCCAACGGTAGACACCATAGACACATACACACAAAACAAGGCAAACACGCACCCCTCAAGGGTCACCCTAGAACCGGCTACATAGACGCTTCCACAGCAGGACAAGCGCCCCTTGTAAAACTCTGCAGGCTGTACCCCAATTTTTCTGCAGCTGCCCCGAAAGGCAATCTGTTTTGCTTTTAGGGATAAAAGATTTCTTCTTTCCTCGCAGGTGTCTGGATCGCATTTTTAATTTATTCCTGCAGGTTGGAAGCCCAAAATACTCTTCTGACAAGCTGGAGGAACTACATGCCCGACAGGGTGGCCACAAAACATGGCTTGCGAAGGTTGGCGACGGTAAACTCGGTGGCCAGCTTCTTTTTTGCCCTCACCTGCTCGGCTCCTGTGTTTTTTTTTTAGCTTCAGGCCCTGATAGAGGGCCAAATGCATCCTGGTTAATTCTCAAGGGCTGCTAAGGAGGAACCCTGCAGACAGGAGCACCAGAATTTGAAAATAGAAGCTGCCAGCTTTGGCCTGGCTTTGGTCCTCTGCATGTGTAAATCCGGAACGTTACAGGGTTTCCTGCTTGAAAAGGAGGGTTGGACTAGAGGACCTCCAAGTGTCCCTTCCAACTCTTATTCTGTCATTCAATTCGGCTTTTGGTCCGGGTAGTTCTTGACTTATAAGCACTCATTTAGTGACCATTTGAAGTTGCAACAGCACTGAAAAAAGGGACTATTTTCCACACTTATGACCGTTGCAACCTCCCCGGCGGTCACACGATCAAAATTCGGACGCTTGGCAACTGACTCACGTTTATGACGGTCGCAGCGTCCCGGGGTCAAGTGACCTTCTGACGAGCAAAGTCAACGGGGGAAGCCGGCTTCACTTAACAACCGGTGACGAACAACCGCAGTGATCCATTTACCGACCGTGGGAAGAAAGGATGTAAAATGGCGCAAAAGTCACTGAACGACCGCCTGGCTTAGGACAGGTTGGGCTCAGCGGCGGTCGTAAGCCGAGGACTTACCTGTGCAAGGGCCCAACGTCCTCACCACCACCGGAAGCAGCGGGACCTCAAGCCTGCCCAACCAACCTCGGTTTGCCCCCGCCACCGCTCCCCCCCCTCCGGGCGAAGCTGAGTTTGCAAAAATAGCCGGAGAAAAACACATCTGCTTCATTTACTTTGGTTCAGTAAAAGAGTTTCTACAAGTGTAGCATTGGAGGCAGGCGCGGGGAGGGGGGGAGAAATACCAAAGGGAGCCAAGAATTAAGGGAGAAGCATCAGGAGCTCGCCCCCCCCCACCCTTTTCTGAAAATAAGTTTTTTTGGGGGGGGGGGAAACACTTCCTCCTAAAACCACCGATTGCGCTTGCAGAAGTGAAACCGAGGCCCACTTTATTTTATTTTTTCCCCTTTGGAGAAAAGGGCCCAGGATTTAATCACAGCGTCCGGCAGACGCGATCAGGATAGTTTTTCTCTGCCAGCCACTTGCCTCTTTCCTCTACGCAGGTCACCTTTCTGAAAGTCAGCATCAGGGCGACCTGGGGATGCTTGTAAGGAAGGCCAGTGAAGGTGCCGGAAGCTGTTTCCGGTCTTTGGGATTTGTCTTTTGGGCAGAAACGGGCAGGATGGAGCGACGAGCAAGTCTGTGACGCTGCGAGGCAAAAGCCTCCCTAACATGTTTGGTGTGTGATATTGTGATGCAGGTACGAAAGGATAGAGTTTGCATTGGGATGTCAGGATACAGGTCTCCTGGCATCAGCTAGGTCATATGGGGTCAGAGAACTCCGTGTATTTGTATTCCATTCCATTCCATTCCATTATTTCTGTTCTGTTCTGTATTTCTATTCTATTCTATTCTATTCTATTCTATTCTATTCTATTCTATTCCATTCCATTCCATTCCATTCCATTCCATTCCATTATTTCTGTTCTGTTCTGTTCTATATTTCTATTCTATTCTATTCTAATTTCTTTTCTGTTCTGTTCTATTCTGTATTTCTATTCTATTATATTCCATTCCATTATTTCTATTCTATTCTATTCTATTCTATTCTATTCTATTCTATTCTATTCTATTCTATTCTATTCCATTCCATTCCATTCCATTCCATTCCATTATTTCTTTTCTGTTCTGTTCTGTTCTATTCTGTATTTCTATTCCATTCCATTGTACTGGGACACTGCGACCACCATAAATGGTCTGCTTCTCTGCTTCTCCCCCCCCTTTCCTTCTCCTCAGAATAATAGATCTAGAAGGGATCCTGGAGGTCATCTAGTCCAACCCCCTGCTCAGGCAGGAGACCCTTCTCTGCTTCTCCCCCCCACCCCTTCCTTCTCCTCAGAATAACAGAGTTGGGAGGGACCTTGGAGGTCTTCTAGTTCAACCCCCTGCTCAAGCAGGAGACCCTAGACCATTCCAGACAAGTGGCCATCCAGAAGATCCAGTGACGGTCTATGGCAGAGATCTCCAACCTTGGCAACTTTAAGACCTGTGGACTACAATTCCCAGAATTCCCCAGCCAGCTCTGCTGGCTGGGGAATTCTCGGATTTGAAGTCCACAAGTCTTAAAGTTGCCAAAGTCAGACGCCCCCTGCTCTATGCTTGGCGAAAGCTCCAGCATTTTAAAGCCTCTTTTCCGACTCACCCATTTGGAACAGTTTGTCAAAAGGGGCGCCCCCCAAAACTCCAGATCTCCTTCTAGAGGGCTGAGGAAGCCCCCAAACCCTGAGACCCGAAGCGGGTTGAGATCGTTCCTTCTCCTCCATCTCCATCAACAGAGGAAGCATCGTCTGCAGCCAGCGTCACAAACCAGCCCACTCACCAACCAACCAAGGGCCAATCTGCTCTGACTCCTAGCACCCCGGTGCCCCCTTTCACCGTGCCTGACCCCCCCCTCCCACACACCCATCCCATCCCCTGTCCGGACTCACGGTGGTTAACGGAGAGCATCGTGAAGCGGTGCACCTCCTTGGCGTAGTACTCTTCGTGGACGGTCTCCTGCGGTTCCTCGTCTGCCATTTCCCGGATCACCTCCAAGGTGCTGTTGTAGAGGGCCATCACCTCCTCCGACAGGACCTTCGGCTCGGAGTCTTCCACCTCGGGGGGCTTCGGGAACTTGAGTTTGCTCAGGATCTGACCCCGGATGGCCTCGATCCGCTTCCGTTTCATCAGGTCCATGTCCAGGGTCTTGCAAGTGGAGAAGGCCCAACTGGAGCAAAGCTGCTGGAGGACCACCAGGAGGAGGAGGAGCCAGCCCGTGGCCTGCTGCGAGACCCCCGGCGCCCCCAGGAAGCCCCAGGGCCTGTTGCCGCTCCTTGACCCCATCATGGTGGTGTTTCCTCTCGTCTTCTGCTGGCAGCTGGCAGCTGGCGGCTCAAAGCTTGTGAAAGTTCCTTCTCAAAACGATCTTCTCCCTTCTTCGTGGTCCAGCCGCCGTCCAGCCGAAGGGCTTGACAAGACACCCTCCGGGCTCTCTCTGGCCCGAACCAGCTCAGCTTTCAGGCAGCCGGTTTCCAGGAGGGACAGACACCCACGCTACTGCCTGGCACCACCGAGGCAGCCCATGTGTCCGGATGCCGCATCTATCCAAACACCCCTGGCACCGGATCAGAGGGCTCCCGTGCCCCGCTCTGGGCAGACGCTTGCAGAGTCTCTCGGCTTCGCTTCAGGAAGGCTTGAGAGGGTGCTGGAGAAGCTGTCACAAGCCCGAGGCCTGGGGACCTCACCGGAATGTGACCAGGCTTGGCAGGCAGGCAGGCAGGCAGGCAGGCAGGCGGTCTTGGGGAAAGGAGAGTCTCTGGGTCAGGCCTGGCAGATGCCACCACTTCTCCTCCCCTGGAGCCAACTGGCCCGTCCCTGTCTTCCTCTGCGGGAAGGGCTGTAATTTCACCACTCTTGTCGGGACTTGCTGACGGCGAGCTCGGAGGTTTATAAAGCCGTTTTTTGCCTCTCCCCGGCACCGGCTCCACCCAGGAAGTGGAGAGAAAGCACTGTGCTGTATATAACTTGCACTCAGGGAGAGAGTGGTGGACAGTTACCCTGGAAAGGAAGAAAAAGAGAGAAAAGAAAGAAAAAGGAAAGAAAGAAAGTAAGAAAGAAAGAAAGAAAGAAAGAAAAAGAAAGAAAAAGAGAAAGAAAGAAAAAAGAAAAAGGAGAAAGAGAAAAAGAAAAAGAAAAAGAAAGAAAGAAAAAGAAAGAAAGAAAGAAAATAGAAGGAAGAAAGAAAGAGAAAAGAAAGAGAGGGAAGGAAGGAAGGAAGGAGAGAGGAAGGAAGGAAGGAAGAGAGAGAAAGAAAGTAAGAAAGAAAGAGAAAGAAAGAGAAAAAGAAAGAAAAAGAGAAAGAAAGAAAAAGAGAAAAAGAAAAAAAAGAAAGAAAGGCAAAAGAGAAAAAGAAAGAAAGAAAGAAAAAGAATAGAAGGAAGAAAGAAAGAAAAAGAAAGAAAGAAAATAGAAGGAAGAAAGAAAGAAAAAGAAAGAAAATAGAAGGAAGAAAGAAAGAAACAAAGAGAAGAAAAGAGAGAGGGAAGGAAGTAAGGAAGAAGAGAGGGAGGAAGGAAGGAAGAAAGAGAGAGAAAGAAAGTAAGAAAGAAAAAGAAAGAAAGAGAAAAGGAAAGAAAGAAAGAGAAAAAGAAAGAATAGAAGGAAGGAAGAAAAAGAAAGAAAAGAAAAGAGAGAAAAGGAAGGAAAGAAGGAAGGAAGGAGCTTTTTGCATTTCTTTCTTTCCCATCTACCCTACCTACCTCTTTTTTGTTTCGTCCCCACCACCGTCCCTTTCTCTCCATCCCTCTCTTTTCTCAACAAACAAAACTTGGGAAACAGTGAAATGTATTCACCGCCAGGTAAAACAAGTGAAATGTATTCAGTGAAATGTATTCACCGCCAGGTAAAACAGTGAAATGTATTCACTGCCAGGTAAAACTGAAATGTATTCACCGCCAGGTAAAACAGTGAAATGTATTCACCGCCAGGTAAAACAAGGCCGGGAGGGATGTCTCCTATTCTGGACCAGCAAAGAGGATAAGGAGTCTAGAGGCTAAATCCAAGATGAACAACTGAGGCAACTGGGAATGTCCAGTCTAGCAAAGAGAAGGACGAGGGGTGACACGATAGGCGGGTTCCAATACTCGAGGGGCTGCCACGAGGAAGAGGAGGGGGTCAACTTATCCTCCAAAGCGCCTGAAGGCAGGACAAGAGGCAACAAATGGGAACTAAACAAGGAGAGAAGCAACCTGGAACTAAGGAGAAACTTCCTGACAGTGAGAACAATCAACCAGTGGGACAGAAGTTGCCTTCAGAAGTTGTGGCTGCTCCATCACTGGAGGCTTTTAAGAAGAGACTGGACAGCCATCTGACAATGCACAGGGGCTCCTGCTTGAGCAAGGGGCTGGACTAGAAGGCCTCCAAGGTCCCTTCCAACGCTGTTATTCCGTATTCTTTATTGGCAGACTCACCTCTCCCCTTTAAAAAAAAGGCATCCCAAAGTCATTCCTTAACTGGGGAAAGTGGCAAAACCACGTCCTCCGGGCTATGCCACGGAAGCTGAGAACGAGGTGGGTACAGGTAGAATACAGCTTGAATGGACATTGGAGCCACGTAGCCAATTTGAGATTGATGTGGATCGTGGCACGTGGCCACCCTCCTTTCCAGGCCAGGGAGAAACAGAGCTACGCAAGCAAGAGACGCCGCTTGCAAAAAACCAAGACCATCTTTACAAATCACGATATGGGTGTGAAAAAAAAAACCCCACCTCCATCCATTTTCGGTTCACACCAAGTTTCCTGGCTACGCTCCAGGTCCACGGTTCAGTTTCCCAGCTTCTCCCCGTCACCAGATATTTAAAGCCCCGTCTTCAATTCATTCCCCCCCACTCCCCTCCTTTCCACGTATCCTGATATAAGATGGTTCGCCACATGCCAAGCGAGAGGGCAATTCCAGCCGTAGCCGAGCTATTTCGGAGCAGCTGCATTGGGGGGGGAGGAAAAAGGGGGGCTTTAGGGTTGAGTTACACCCCCAAATGCATTCAAACCATGTTACACGTGGCGAGATCCAATTTGGGGCTGCAGGTTCAGGACGTTGTTATAGGGTAACTAGCTAAGGAAAGAGATTGGACAACCATTTGTCTGAAATGGGGTAGGTAGGGTTTCCTGCCTGAGCAGGGGGTTGGACTAGATGACCTCCAAGGTCCCTTCCAACTCTGACATTCTATTCTATTTTATTCTAGTCCAGTCCAGTCCAGTCCAGTCCAGTCTATTATTCTATTCTATTCTAGTCCAGTCCAGTCTATTATTCTATTCTATTCTATTCTATTCTATTCTATTCTATTCTATTCTATTCTATATTCTAGTCTAGTCTAGTCCAGTCCAGTCCATTATTCTATTCTATTCTATTCTATTCTATTCTATTCTATTCTATTCTATTATTATTTTTCCATATTATTTTTTCTCTGTCCCTTTCTCAAGTCATGTTCGCCTGTTATATTAACTCAGCCACTGAGGGTGTGGATTGGACTATAATCCACACTCCCCACCACCACCACCCAATATACAGGCAGTCCTCACATTTATGACGGTTGCAGTGTTCTGGGGTCACGTGATCTCCTTTTGCGACTTTCTGACAAGCAAAGTCAATGGATAAACCAGATTCGCTTAATCCCCATGTTACTAACTTAACAATTGCAGTGATTCGATTAACAACTATGGGACGAAAGGTCATAAAATGAGGCAAAACCTCACTTAACAAATGTCTCGCTTAGCAACATAAATGTTGGGGTCAGTTGTGGTCGTAAATCGAGGATTACCTGCACGAAGGATGGGGCATGCCTTTCTACAATTGTTCTGCCCCTTTTTTGCAAACCTTCCCAGCGGGAGATTGAATAAAGTCCTGGACCGGTCTTGCGTAACTCCGCAGCGCCACGGGAGAAGGTCAGCGTGCTCCTTCTGCCCTCAGGCATCAAGGCACGCAAACACACCCCGCATTGTTGTGTTGCTGTTTCCCACAGAGACACACCAAGCTGGGGAAGAAAGCTCCCGGAGGCCAAATCATCCCTCCAAGCATATAAAAGCACGCCTCCCGGAAGAGATGAAAGGGAGGTGAGATAACCTGTAGGAAAAGAATGATTTCCCGTATCCACCCAGTGGCCGAAATAGCTGGAAGCAGGCTTTTATGGCCAAGTGGCAGGCAACCACAGACGGTCCTCGTTTAGCGACCGCCCCATTTAGTGACCATTCGTTTGCAGTTACCACGGTGATTTTAAAAAAAAGAAGGAACTGGACCACCAATCCTTACGTTTTCAACTGTCGCAGGTCTGCAGTGTTTCTTTAAGATGTATGGACTTCAACTCCCAGAATTCCCTAGCCAGCTAGGGAATTCTGGGAGTTGAAGTCCATACATCTTAAAGGTGGCCGAGATGAAGAAACATTGCTGGGAAGCGGAAGGAAGGAAATTGCAGGCCAGGTTCTTATCCCTTTTTTCATATTACGACTTTAAGGTGGCCAACATATCCAGCGCTACTCCCCTCTTCCTATTTTCCTCACAACAATCCTGTGAGGTGGGCCGGGCTGTTTATAAAAAAAATAATAAAAGCAGGATCGAAATACAATAAAAACCCGAAACCAGGTTTGGGAGATGGCTGGGCCCCACGTGGCTGCCCTTTATAACAGCCTCCTCCCGAGATTCGCAAAGCTCCTGTTTAATCCAGCTTTAAGCCATCTTTACAAACCTGCTTATTCCCCCCCTCCCCTCCGGCTTGGAATTACAGGCTTGTCGGTTGGCTCGGTCTCTTTTTAGTGGCGAGGGACGGAGGACGTGGTGTTTTGTGGTTCCCTCCTTACGCCGGTTGGTGTTTTCATGTGATATTGTGTATTGTTTTATGCATCATGTTGTGGTTTTCGTCTGGGTGAAGCTCCTGGCATTCCTTTGAGGTCAGGCAGCTTAGAAATTTTGACAAAAATGGAACTGATCAATGGGGAAAGAAATTGCTACTTTGTGCGCTGGGCACTGTGTTGTAACAAAGCTTGCCTTTTTGTTTTGGATAAATGAGAGTTACCAGATTTAACACAAACACAGTAAGCTGACATTGCATAAGAAATTATAACTGCAACTCTTTTATTTATTGATCTATTTTTGCCAAAACTACAGCTTTGGTGCCCTCTGGTGGCCATGGCCAGAATTACACCTCTCTTACACAGGACCAAATTGAGGATATTAAATCTGGTTAAAACATTGATCCAAAACAAAAAGGCAAGCTTTGTGACAACGCAGTGTGGGACACACAAACTGTCCCTTTTAGAGGTATGGACCGCAGTTCCCAGAATTCCCCAGCCAGCTAGTGGAATTCTGGGAATTGAAGTCCACAGACCTTAAAGTTCCCAAGCTTGAAAAATACTGCTGGAGCGAATGTAGCAACCATATATATTGCATTTTTTAAAATTCATTCATTGTGTTTTCCCTCCACGCAGTAGAGCAGGAAGGGACTTAGAAAGACAAAGTATAAGATATTTTTTTTCCCCTAGGTGTACCTTTTAAAGCCTCTGGCTTTGCTGCAATTATTCTTTCTCTTCACATGAAGAAATGTTTGAAAGAAGGGCTCCGCAGAAGAAAACATTTAAAAATAGTCCTCCAGATGCTGTGTAAAAAACTCAATGTTGACATGTAAAGATAGTCCTCGACTTACAACACTTAGGGGCCGTTCAAAGTTACAACGGCACTGAAAAGTGACTTATGATCGTTTTCCACACTTACGACCTTTGCAGTCACATGATCAAAATTCAGCCGCTTGGCAACTGACTCGTACTTATGACGGTTGCAGCGTCACGGGGTCACGGGATCCCCTTAACAACCGTGTTACTAACTTAGCAACTGCGAAGAGTCACTTAACAACTGTGGCAAAAAATTCAGCAAAAAAAATCACTTAACTGTCTCGCTTAGCAACGAAAATGTTGGGCTCAATTGTGGTGGTAAATTGAGGACTACCTGCATTGGTCAGATTGTGGCAATCTCGCAGTGGAGCATGATGGGGAAACAAAATGGCAGCTCACTGCATCAAATAGCTACCACAATTAGTGCACTGTGCTGGCCAGACATTTCTGCAGGGGTGGTCAAAAAAGTCAAGATGGCAGCCACCACTGCATGTAGAACTGGGTGGGGCTTCCACGACAAGAGTCGTGGGCGCCATCTTGACTTTTTTTGACCACCCCACGAATGCCTTCGAGCCCCCTCTAACGCAAAGGAGCAAAATTTGCTGCCCCTCTTCTCTCCTGCAGCACAAGGCTGGGCCCAGGATCATTGTTTACGGAGTATTTTCATTAGAAGCAGTCTTTAAAAAAAACAAAACGACTTGAAAGTGAATTAGAAAATAGGTTTTTTTTTCCCCCTTGATAAAACAGAACTCCAAACATCTTGCAGAGAAGAAGCACCCAGATTGAGCGAGGCTTCCTGCTTGAATGGATCCGGCCAAACTCTGCTCAAGAAAATCGAACCAGGCAGGATTGAAAGAAGCACCACCACCGAAAGAAGCACCAAACTGCCACTAGGAAGAGAAATCAAGAGCTAGAAAACAAGTCCGCGGCCGAATAAGTCCCAGTTTGGGTCACAAAGACGGAGATCAAAGTTCAGATTGCGGCTTGTGGTTCTCGCAGTCCGAGCAGAGCTGGGGGTCTTCCTTCCCAGAGCAGGTGGGGGAGAACAGCCTCCCTTTAGCCCCAAGTCCTTCCCATTCCTGATGTTTGGGAATTCACGGACCCATCCTTCTCCGAGCCGAGCGGAGGGGCTCGGCCCCTGGTGCTCAGCATTCCACCCCATAGCGGTCAAAGTTACGGAGCAGGACGGCCAGCTGGAGGTGCACGGTGCCCATGGCGCAGGTCCGCAGGCGGTAGCGGTCGCCCCCCGTGTAGATCAAGTCGCTGTTGACGAGCTGGGGGCCCCCTCCCACAAAACACTGGGACAGCTGCTCCTGCCAAGAGCCCAGCGGGCGCCAGGTGACGCACTGCAGCTCGTGGAAGCCGGGGCTGGAGGGCACGTGGCAGAAGCCGTAGGCGCAGAGGTCGATGCGCCCAAAAGCATCCTGGTGCCACACCTGGACGTAGAGTTTGGGCCAACCTGCCGGGGGGGGGGGGGAGAAGAGAAAAAAAAAAAACAGGCTGCTCCGTCATCTTGGTTTTTTAGTTTTCAACTTTTTATTCTGATTTTAATGGCTCGTTTTAACTTGTGTTATATTGTAAGCTGCCGACAGCTGAAATATCAGTGAGATGGGTGACACAGGAAGGAAGGAAGGAAGGAAGGAAAAAAGAAGAGAAGGAGGGAGGGAGGGAAGAAAGGAAGGAAAAAGNGGAAAAAAGAATGAAGGGAGGGAGGGAAGGAAGGAAGGAAGGAAAAAACAGAAGGAGGGTGGGAAGGAAGGAAGGAAGGAAGGAAAAAACAGAAGGAGGGTGGGAAGGAAGGAAGGAAGGAAGGAAGGAAGGAAAAAAGAAGAGAAGGAGGGAGGGAGGGAAGAAAGGAAGGAAGGAAGGAAGGAAGGAAGGAAAAAAGAAGAGGGAGAGAGGGAAGGAAGGAAAACAAGAACAGGAGGAGGGAGGGAAGGAAGGAAAAAAGAATGAAGGGAGGGAGGGAAGGAAGGAAGGAAGGAAAAAACAGAAGGAGGGTGGGAAGGAAGGAAGGAAGGAAGGAAGGAAGGAAGGAAGGAAGGAAGGAAAAAAGAAGAGGGAGGGAAGGAAGGAAGGAAGGAAAAAAGAACGGAGGGAGGGAGGGAAGGAAGGAAGGAAGGAAGGAAGGAAGGAAGGAAGGAAGCTCCCACGCTGACTGGCGAAGTCTGGGACTTGTAGTCCACACATTTTAAAGTTGCTATGGTTGAGAAACATGGTTTAACCACTTCCACAAGGCAGAATTTTGAGGCAAACAGTGGTAACAACAACAAAAACAATAGCGATCACCATCCATCCATTCATTCAGCGGCACCCACAGCCGATCCTTCAGCTCCTTCTGTCCCCTCACCCCAATTTCCTTGGGCCCACCCCGTTCAGTTCCTCTTTCATAATTAGGGCCAATTTTGGTTTTGGATCCACTGGCTCGGATTTGGTACAAAAATATACCGACGTCCCCAACAATAAAGGGAGCTGAAGAGGCCAATTTTAATAATTACACATTGTCCGTTCAGCTGGGAAGGAAGAAAGGCGGCGAGAGCAGTTTTTATTCATCTATTGGAAGGAGAGAGAGAGGGGTGAAAAAGACAATCTTGGGCCCAGGCGTGCAATAACAGGCCTGGCCCTCTTTTTGCACCCGCGCTGGGCTGGCCACAGGTTCAAAATCAAACCCCGCAAAAGACAAACAGCTTTGCCGCTGCTCAAGCTGAGAAACTTAATTTGGAACCTGCTTCCCTCCTGATTTATAATCCCTCGCAATATTTATTGCATCGGTTGTTTTATTCTCTGCCCGTGCTGTGCTTCAGATTAAGCACCTAATAAATAAAAGCATTTGCAAACTGCCTGATGCCGCCACCTTCAAGGATCAGATGCTATGGAATTAATGACGGAACAATGGAAGGGCGAAGGCAAAACTGGGGCCTCTCCGTGCCAGTACAGTCTACCTTTGAATTCCAAAGGGCAAAGGCAAAACTATCTATACCCCTTTTTTTATTTTGATTTTTTGTTTTTTTTTAAAACCATCTACTGGCCTTTAAAAAGAGCACCAAGGATCCCATACTTCAGTGATGCCACCGGGGTATTTTGAAAAGTTATTTCTTTGTATCCCACTTTTGTCATTTTTTTTTACAAATAACTCAAAGCAGCAAACATATCCCACACAACTTCTTCTTAGTTTCCTCACAATAACAGCCCTGTGAGGTGGGCTGGAGTGAGAGGGAAGGACTGGCTCAAGGTCACCCAGCCGGCTTTCCTGCCTAAGGTGGGACTAGAACTCCCCGTCTCCTGGTGACTGGCCCAAAGTGATCCAGATGGCTTTCCTGCCTAAGGTGGGACTAGAACTCACCGTCTCCTGGTGACTGGCCCAAAGTCATCCAGATGGCTTTCATGCCTAAGGTGGGACTACAACTCCCAGTCTCCTAGTGACTGGCCCAAAGTCCACCCAGCTGGCTTTCCTGCCTGAGGCGGGACTAGAACTCCCCGTCTCCTGGTGACTGGCCCAAAGTCACCCAGATGGTTTTCCTGCCTGAGTTGGGACTAGAACTCCCCGTCTCCTGGTGACTGGCCCAAAGTGATCCAGCTGGCTTTCATGCCTAAGGTGGGACTACAACTCCCAGTCTCCTGGTGACTGGCCCAAAGTGATCCAGATGGCTTTCCTGCTTAAGGCAGGACTAGAACTCACCGTCTCCTGGTGATTGGCCCAAAGTCATCCAGATGGCTTTCCTGCCTAAGTTGGGACTAGAACTCCCCGTCTCCAGCTTTCTAGTGTGTGGCGCCTAGACCAAACTGGCTCTCCAGGAGTCAGGATACCAGGATGTCGTTTACAGCTCTCAGCCACAATCATCCAGAGATATAAAGGGAAACTCTCCCCCCCTACGTCCTCTTCCTTACCTTGCAAGCCTTTGGTGGCAAAGTGGACATCGATGGGGTGGCACCAATACGCCACGTCCCCTAACTGGGGATGGTCAACCTGCGTCTGCCCTTCCCGAAGACCCGACAGCAGTTTCCAGGCGCCACCTGAGAGAAGCATCCACCCACCAGTTGTTAAACAGAGCATCAAGGTTTCCCAACAAGCCAACTTTATATCCCTTGCTTTGGCCTCCGACCATCTTAACCTTTCAGAATAACAGAGTTGGAGGGGACCCCCGGAGGTCTTCTAGTCCAACCCCCTGCTTTAATTCAGCAAGTGGCGGGTCTCTTGATCGCAGGCCAAGAGTAAATTGGCTCTTTTCTTGGGGATGGCCTTTCCTCGTGGCCTCCCATCCAAGTCCAGTATGCCCGCAGATCCCGCCCTGCTGCCAGCGTTTCCCTTCCCCACCGACTGAGCAGCCCTCCCTTCCTTGGCGGGTCTGGGGGCTGCAAGTGGGGACCCCCCCAAACTCACCGTTCCCACCCCCGGGATGCCCCCCACCTGTCCCACGCAGAGACCCCCCCCCGCACCCACCTGTGTGGATCCCCCATTTGCAAAAGAGGGAACTGCTGGGGAATCCACTGGCTCCCACGAGCTGGCCAATGACGTGCACTTCGGCCATGGCCCTTGCGGGCGGAGCCGAGCCGAGCCGGGGACCGCCGGATTGCAGAAACGGGGCTTTGCAAATCCTTCGATGCGGCGGACTCGGGCTAACCCGGGTCAGGCTCTGCCCGGGAAACCTGCTTCGGAAGGCGAATGCACGGGTCGCAACGGTTCAGACGTTGCAGCCACGGCGAAAGCGGGGCGCGAGGGTGGGGGGGCGGGCGGGAGGAAGCGGGGGCGGAGCCTCCCCGCGGTAGTCAAGGCGCCTCGCCCGTCCTGCCTCCTGATTGGCGCGTGGTGGAAGGGGCGTGGCCCGGAGGTGTATACATAAGAGGGACCGGCGGGCGGCGCTCGTGCAGAAAGGGTGGGCGGTGGGAGGGTGGGGGGGGTCGTGTTTATTTTATTTTATTTTATTTTATTTTATTTTATTCCATTTTGATTAACTTCTCCCCTTTCTGGGCTTTAGGGAAATCAGATTGCAGCCTATTATTATTATTATTATTATTATTATTATTATTATTATTATTATTATTATTATTATTATTTCTTTTGAGACTGTCCATCTCACTATATACTGTCTGTCTATCTATCTATCTGTCTGTCTGTCTGTCTATCTATCTCTATATATATCTGTCTATCATCATCTATCATCATCTATCTATCTATCATCATCATCTATATCTATCTATCTATCTATCTATCATCTATCTATTATCTATCTATCATCTATCTATCATTTATATATCTATTATCTATCCATCCATCCATCCATCCATGCATCCATCCAATAAATCTCCCATGTTTGTGTCTCTGGAAGCTGCACCAATGACAGCAAAGGCCACTTGACATTTAAATGCACACTTTTTTGGGATCAACTCCCACGTTTTTCTAAATAAAACCGAATCCATGAGATAAAAAGCAACGCTGCACCTCTCGTCTCAGTGCCTGAAGTGTAAAAAAAGAAAAATCACAAGAAACCCGGGAGCTGAAGGCAATTTAAATTCGTTTCCCACAAGCCACAAAGGGGGCATCCTAGCCCCTCAAATGTCCTGGCTCTGCTCCAGCTGGGACCAAAAGGACAAGAAAATGTACAGGTGGTCCTCAGCCACCATTGAGCCCAAAATTTCCGTTGCTAAGCGAGACAATTTCATTACCTTTCCTGCCACCCTCGTTAAGTGAAGCACTGCAGTTCTGAAGTCAGTAGCACCCTTTGTTAAGGGAATCTGGCTCCCCACCACCACCAATTGACTTTGCTTGTCAGAAGGTCGCTAAAGGGGATCCCATAACCCGGGTCGCTGCAACCGTCCTAAGTACATGGCAGTTGCCGAGCGTCCGAATTTTGATCACATGACCACGGGAGGCTGCAACGGCCGTAAGCTTGAAAAAAGGGTCACAAATGGTTGTCAAAGAGTGTGGGTTTGTGTTGCTGGGACATTAAAATGCCCCTGGGAAGAAGAACAAGCCGCTTATTCCAGTGAAGAGACTTTGCTGCCAATGTCAGTGAGTATAAAAAAAACCAAACCACACACACACACACAAAAAAAAAAATCCAGAATGTAATTGCACTTTATAAATCACTCACATATTCGCTGCACTAGACTATAGAACAAAACGCTTGTTTTACAAAGCGACATCAAGAAGGCAGGGGAAAAAAAAATACATTAAGGCTGGGGGGGCCAGGAAATTTACAATTTAAATCAGTACCACCTCATTAAAATCGGAGCCTCTCTTCCTCCATGGATTCTGATTCCCCCCCCCTCCCAGCCTCTGTGGTGCAGCATCCGATGAATGTGAAATTCAGAATTTCAGGCACGTTCACTCTCCCAAGGGGGCCGCCAGGTTGGATTCAAAAAATACAGGTAACAGATTGATGTTTCCATCTGTCCTTTTTCCTTTTCTACCCAGGCAGTAATCGCGTGTAATCACCTTGGGCGCTCGTAAAGCACGTTGAGTTTCTACCTGGGATTTTTTTTTCCCAGCCTTTCGTTCGTGGGCCTCAATTAACCAGAACTTTTGGGGGGCTTCAGGTAAGTGTGCCGTTAAAAAAAATGACTTTTTTGGTGCTTTGGGAAGCCCTTGCCTCTGACCCTTTCGAAAACTGGGCTTGTGGGTTTTGTTAGGTACATCTCTTAATTTGTAAAATATCCTAATAAAATATCTCCTGGTCTGTAGCCAAGCCTTGCTGGATTTTTCAAAGTGTTTGTAAAGAAAAGCAGAAGAGCTTTTGACTAGTATTTTTCAGTTTGTAGCTAGAGCATCAGTGTTTCTCATCTCAGGAACATGAAAAGGGTGGACTTCAACTCCCAGGATTCCTCAGGCAGCAAGGTTTAAGATAGATGGACTTAAACCTTGCTGGTCGGGGAATTCTGGGAGTTGAGGTCCATCCATCTTAAAGCTTGCTGGCTAGGGAATTCTGGGAACTGAAGTCCATCCAACTTAAATCTTGCTGGCTGGGGAATTCTGGAAGTTGAAGTTGGATGGACATCACTTCCCAGAATTCCCTAGCCAGCAAGCTTTAAGATGGATGGACATCAATTCTTGGAATTCTCCAGCCAGCACGCATTAAGATGGCAGCACATTCCAGTCTGATTCAAATCAACATCAATTCTCCTTCGGCCATGGTTTGGCTGGGGAATTCTGGGAGTTGAAGTCCACCCGTCTTCAAGTTGACACGGTTGAGAAATATTAGTGAGAATGTACAACGTGTGTGTGTGTGAGTGAACTTTCATTGCAGAGTTTCAGATACGAACGGGTGTTTTTTTAAATTTTATTTTGGGGACGAGGGCTAGCAGAAGACCCCCTTGTGTAAAATTGTGACGCTGGAGATTCTTTCCTTGCGAGAGAAATGAACTGTCAGGAGAGTAAGAGGTGAAAGCAAAGTGGGGTTTACGCCAATGACATTTAAAACGAGTATTTCGGAACAGCCTCGGCGGATGAGAGAGACCCATGCTGTTTTTCTTCAGCAGTAAGGCTTAGGAACTTGACCCTTGTCAAATCAAAGTAGCTACCCTTAGGCAGATTAAGCGACCATTGCTAGGTTTATTTTGGTCCTTTTATTTGCCTTTCCAAATGCCACCGTGCTTGGCGCTTAGCTAACTTTCGGAGTTGACGGCGAGGTGGAAAATGCGTTCTGGAGCCTACTCAAATCTCAATCCCGTAATCGATGTTATGAATGCTCAGGAACCGCCTTTTGTGTTTAAAACAATAAAGGTAAAATTATTGAGTCAGGCTCAACTCCTCAAGGAATTAATGCTATTTCCTTGGCAGACTATTATACCGTCTTCATTTTTTTTCTCTCTCTCTCTCTCCTGTTCAATCGTGTCTAATTCTCAGAGGCTGTCCGGACAAACCACTGCAATTTTCTCAGCCAGGTTTTTTCAGAAGGGGCTTGCCATTGCTTCCTTCCTAGGGCTGAAAGAATGTGGCTGGTTCAAAGTCACCCAGCCGGCTTTCATGCCTAAGGCAGGACTAGAACTCCCAATCTCCTGGTGATTGGCCCAAAGTCACCCAGCTGGCTTTGATGCCTAAAGCAGAACTAGAACTCCCAGTCTCCTGGTGATTGCCCCACAGCCACCCACCTGGCTTTCATGCCTATGGCAGGACTAGAACTCACAATCTCCTGGTGATTGGCCCAAAGCCACCCACCTGGCTTTTATATCTAAGACAGAACTAGAACTCCCAGTCTCCTGGTGATTGGCCCAAAGTCACCCAGCTGGCTTTGATGCCTAAAGCAGAACTAGAACTCACAATCTCCTGGTGATTGCCCCACAGCCACCCACCTGGCTTTCATGCCTATGGCAGGATTAGAACTCACAATCTCCTGGGGATTGGTCCAAAGCCACCCAGCTGGCTTTCATGCCTATGGCAGGACTAGAACTCACTGCCTCCCAGTTTCTAAGTTGATGCCTTCACCGCCAGATCAAAGCAGCTCTCCATTATCTTCTATGACCACACTTTTCCATCTTCCCATTCTTATCCACGACCCTGGGATTTTTGAGGTTCCCCCCTCTCCCCCTCCAAAGAGCAGCCAGGTAGGACCTTCCTTGGCCCTTACCAGCCGGCCCAAGGTAGGGAGAGGTGCTGACTCAGCAGCACACCTGTCCCAGGTACCTGCCCTTCTTGCCTATGACTTCCTTGACTCCAAAGTTTGCGCCCAGACTCAAATACACTCAAGGGTGGCCTGCCGGGACTTGTGGGCCCTTTAAATCCTTGAAATTGAACGGCGCAGCAATTCCAGATCTTAACGGTCCCTGTGTTGTGATGACTCTCCAGTTTTCTTGATGACACCCTCCCTTCTCCCCCCCACCCCTTTGCCGCTGCTGTTTTGATAGCCCAGCTGCTGCAGAGGCACAACACAGACAGCGGTGTCAGCACAATTTCCTCCGGCAGCATCTTCCCAAAATTACTACCTTTAATTGCACCGCACAGTCTCTTGCAGGAACGGGCCCTGTGACTCGCCTTCAGAGCCTCCAGGGGGCGCTGTGCTTGCGTGTCAAAACACCAACTGGCAAGATTGGATTTTGCATCGATTTTTTATTCTCTTCTGTCTGTGTCTTCGCAGAAAGAGAGAGAGAGAGAGAGAGAGAGAGAAGAAAAAAAGACTTAAGGTCAGATCTTAATTTCTCCAGCACATCCTAAGAAACGTCGTGGATTTTTTCAGCTTCTGCCACAGGTGAAACAGGTAACGGTTCGCCAGGTAAAAGGGCGGAAAAAACCCCGTTTTTCGAGGGGAAGCTTCAGCCACGAAGAAGCTTCTATCAAGGGATCCGATTTACTTTCTGTTTCAAGGATCTGGAAGCAGAATCCTGGAATCCTGTCCCTCTGTTGGGTAGGTCAGTTCGAGTGAAAAGAAGGACCAGGGCTGACCTACTAGCGGTATAATATTCCAGTATTTGAGGGGCTGCCACAAAGAAGAGGGGGTCACGTTATTCTCCAAAGCACCAGAGGGCAGGACGAGAAACAAGGGGTGGAAACTGATCAAGGAGAGAAGCAACCTGGAGTTTAATGAAGAGAAGGGTGAGGGGGGGACATGATAGCAGCGTTCCAGTATCTCAGGGGCTGCCCCAAAGAAGAGGGAGTCAAGTTATTCTCCAAAGCGCCTGAAGGCAGGACAAGAAGCAACGGATGGAAACTA